TAGAGTGTGAAACTTTGATAATTAAACACATTACGGAATTACTGTTCAACAATAACAATAAACAACAAAAGAAAAATGGATCAGAGATTACGGCCCATCGCCCACAATCGACTAAAATTTATCAAAGTTCACCGTAATGGTGAGCTTTCAAAGTTTTATGTAGAAGCAATCAGCCAGAGATAGATTTGCTGAAGAGATGGCCATCTCTGTTCCTTTCAGCCTTCTGTTGTCTTAATTGTTCTCTATTTATCCTCCTGTTCTTCGATTTTATTTTAAATATGTGATGAGATTGTTCGAAATCTTTCACGTAAAGATATCACATATCATTGTTCAAATAAACTACGTCTTCTAAATACATTATGCAAAATAATTTTTATAAAAGGGATTAGTTGTTTCAAATTTGAGCGGATATTTCAGACTTCAGTTCCATTTTACAAATCAATCAACAAATAATTGAAGGGATAAAAATGACTGTCAGAGGCTTAAGTGTGTGACCCTTGAAGAGACGAACATGAAATCATGGTGGAAGATGTGAGGTTAGTTAAAGATTAACAAGTATGAACTTTAAAAACTAGTCTGAGTTACACCTTGATGGTGAATAATGTATGTTAGCTGGCTGGAGATAGTCGAGGGAACTGATGTCCTGCCTGGGATTCAATTCTATGTCACCCATTAATGCAGTCGGCCACGTTACAACTGAGCCATTCGGGTCACGACTGACCTAGTGTTAGACTGGTCTATATAGATTAATTGGTCGATAGAAAGCAACGAATTTCATGTCTTCTAGTCCTAAGTGTTGACGGAGATGCAGTAACTGGCGAGATATCAATTCCGTCAAGGTTTCAGATACACGTTGCTGATGAGAGCCAACAAGCACGAAACCCAAGCCATGCAGGACTTACCGCTAATTGCCTCTATCCAACAAACATCTTCAAAATGTATTGCTTTCTTGGTTGAAAGAAAGCTGTGGTACGTAAAAAAAAGACACTTTTATCAAGATTCAAGAGGTCATCGTCGGTATAAATCAGCTATACAAATGAGCCTGTAAGAGTCGGCCTTTCAGTTAAGGTAGCCGTTTATTTAAGACCGATCTATTAGGCTTATTCTAATTCAGTGGTTTTCATACACACAGAATTTTGGGAGTTGTTGTTTCTTTTATTTTATCCAGTTGACTTGGTAACAAAACAAAAAAACCATTGAACATTCACAAACTTCAATTATTCTAGTCCTAAAATATTCATGGTGTTTGTATACGCAAATCAAAAGAAATATGCCGCCAATTTATTAACAGGATTATAATTCACATGCTCTGACCAAGTCTAGAATTTGGCCGGTAATCATTGAACGCCTAAGTGGAGCTCAGAGACAGCAAATTCAAGAAAACTAGGCAGGTTTCTGACTTGATCGGGAGTGTACCGGTCAGGTCTTCAACCCCTATCAGATTCTGGAACACAGGTACACTTATCGCCTTCCGACAACCATTTTGCTACTTGACCTGAAAGTGGTATTCGACTCCGTCGATCAAAAAGTCATATGGAAGTTTGTCGCACTGAAGTGATGTTGTATAAGTAGGTTGGTCTACTAATGACTCTGTATACTCTGAAACTCGTACTTAGGTTGGAGCCTGTGGTGAGATAACATGTGAGTTGTGTGCGTTGATTCGACATGATAACGTCGTTGACTACAACATTGAGTAAGGCATGTTTGAATCTTAGGTGGGACATCCTTTCCATTGAGGTTGAAGATACACTTTGCTGACGAGTGCCAACATGCACCAAATCTAGGTCCAGAGCTTCTGGCAGATCGTTTCCAACCAAGTAACACGTATCCAGATGCACTGCAATGCTGAGCTTCCTAGTTTGGTGGCGTCATTGAGAAAGTGATCGATAAGATTCCACCCGCATTCAGAACTAGACGACATGAAATTGATTGCTTTCCCATTATGTTATTTGATCTTGAAGTTGACATGCTTGCTGAAGTCTACCTCTCATCGTCTCACAATACAGCGATTGACAACATCCAAGAAATTTCGTTTATGGACTTCACGGACTGAGATGATTAGGTCATGTGCTACGCAAGCCTAGTCACCATCTACTCCAATGCGTAGTGTTAGCTGCATTGGGTCTTCTACGTCAAAAGCAGCCAAATACAACACGGCACCAGTCTATCAAGTCCCTGGCTATTGACCTTAGCAGTGAAGATAGATGTACACTTTCCAGTTGAGGTCCATGTGACAACCGAAAGCGATGGTTTTATACCTTAGTTGAGATGACTCAGAATCGACCTCAGCGCTGAAGATGCAGTCACACCTTACTTGAATTCTAATCTTCATCAAGAATTCCATTACTTTTTTGTTCCTTATTCCCTTGTTTTTACGACTTTCAGCTATTTTCTTCCTTATTTCTATATATGTTTTCTTGACGTCTTCTAACTTGATGCCCCGATGTGAGATGTAGTATCTTGTTTGAACTGTTACGCACTAATGCCGCATTGCGTTTTGTGATCGATTGACCGACTGACTGACTGACTGACTGACGGGTACGCCCAGTAAGCTAAATGACACAAAATTACAGTGCACGTTTTTCTGCTGTTAGATGTTAGTAGTCAGTTTGTAGGAAACTCCAGACATATGTTGCGTGCTTGGTGCTGGAGACTTTACTAATGAGCCTTTTTTAGCAACCTCTCCCAACCCGCTATAGGATTATTTCGTGTTGGATATACGTATGGATGAATGACTACGTATTTGAGTGGTAGGAGAGTTATTTTTCAACAAAGAAACACTGTACTGAAATTCATACCAAATATCCATTCCTTCGGTAGACTAAATCAACAAGAAACCATGTAGTTAGTACTCAGGAGGATGATTCTCCTTAGTTTGAAAACACACAACCGTGTACAGTAAGTGACTACTGCTGAGATCTGAAGCGGTAAGATTACAACTTAATGGTAAACGATCGCGGTACAGCAAATTAAACAACAAGTACCACAATGCTCAGTCTGTTAGCTTAGTGCCTACATTATACAGAAACTCACTAAAAGTTAGTCATCATACAGGACTGTATAATACTTTGGTGTGATAAACATGTGTCTTCGATGACTTCTAGTTCCTTAGTGGTGCATGGCTGATGATGGAATCAAGGAGATGCAATTCGTCATGACAGTTGGTCATCAGCCGGATGTTGTCAGCAATACCTATCACTTCAAGCGTTACTGAGATAGTCACTGGCTATAACTTAATAGATTATGTTCTTTCCTGTATGTTCTAATGACTGAGTGGATCTGCATCCTTATGAACTTTCATTATATCCAGTTAAGTATATTTGATAATTCATACTGTAAGCAGCTGAAGAACAAGCGATAAAATAAACGGATGTCATGTTTTTTCTGCTCAGATAGTTATATTCACTCTTTTCAAATCTGATGTCAGTCACAGTATTGTGCATATAAATCATGATTTTATAGGCTTTATTTCATCATCTTGTTCACAATATTTTAATTTCTTAACAAAGGCTATTCCAGATCAGCTTATTACTAGTGATCTGTTTACCCAGTAAAATTAAGATGTAATCGATCTTGACCATGAAGAACACATATTTGCGACACTTATGTGATAAATAAGCGGAGTTTTAAGTGTTTGTCGATCAGGTAGTTTCTGAAATGAAATCGTGAGGAGATACTGATATTGGTAATACAACCAAGCAAGCTAATACAAATTTATTTCTGCACAAAGACCGTGTGTATTCAGCATGTGGCCATGCCAACTTTGTTTGATGTGCCTGACATTATTTCGTTCAAATAGTCTGTAGGATGAGTAATGTTGAGCGTATCTTAAGTAACCTCATCATTTTTATCTTGGTACTTTTATTATCTTGTTATTGATTAGACCGGATTGATCGTCTCTATTAGCATATGAGCTCCTGTGCGGATTCCTGAATACTGCCTGTTTTTTAATTTTATATTATTGGCAACAATATCAGTCACCAGGGGGTAGGTAGATTTGACTGACGAGCCCCAAATAGGACGAACATGTGTGTTGAATTCCACTATCGATCATTTATATAAAATCCCTTCGTTTGTTGCATAATTTTTAATATTCATTTGAAAGAAATGCTAGCCGTATTTCATGTGTGTGTGAGGGGGGAGGGGGGTTGTTAAAACATTTAGTTGTTTGAACCAGAGTGAAGTTAAAACCTGGGGCCAACTGCTTCGAAACTGAGTACGTAAGATAACTAGCCATCCCTCTACATCTGTGAACTAGTACGAGAAACTTATGAAGCAATCAAAGGGTCTCTACTTCGGGTCCAGCAGACAGAAATTCTCCTACTGGCTTTCTTTTAGACTTTATAGTTGAAGTGGGTGCGGAAACTAAAATCGATTGTTTCTGAGACTCTGGGTAATATGAATCGATATATATCTGAGTGATGCAGATCTATGCATACATTATCTTTATCCTAATCGTCATTTCCCCTTTTCGTTATTGTTTTACTCCCATCTTTCTCTCTTCTTATAACTTTCTACAGATTATGACCATATAATCTTTACATATTTCTACATCTTTCACTTTGTCGCAATGTATCTTGATGAGGTGATGTAACGTGTAACAATTCGAAGCGTTATTCATCAATACTTAGTTTAACTTTGAATATTCACTTATTTACTGACTGACTGATTGACTGACTGACTGACAGACTGACATTCACTTTGTTCATCCCAAAAACTAACATATTATGTTCGCAGACATGTCATGTCAGTTAATGTGGAGTTGAAAATAGATTTCAAGTTACTACCTTAGGTATTGTGTGATAAGATCAAAGGTGTTGTGTTTTAATCCATGCTGAATAGTATGCATGGACCTTGCATTTATTTTAGAATTTGACTTCTCAGTATGAGTCAATTATTCATGAATGATCATCAAGTTAAATGCTTCCTACAAAATATCATGCACAACTAGGTAAGGAATCAACACGGAGTAATCTGTGTTGTACAAGAACCACCAAAATGTAAGCAAAATTGTATTTTACAATAAACTTGACAGTATTCATAATAATAATAATAATAATAACATTTGAATTAAATAAATGAATTAACTATCTGAAGTGTTGTTCATTTATCTCTATTTTTTGTGTGTGTATGCGTGTATATTTGTTTGTGGGCAGAAAACAAGCAACTTTTTTTTTCATGAAATAGTGTTCATACATTATTGTATATAATTCTTTTGTGAGATGTGAAAGCAGTGGGATTTTTCATTTCTGTTTGCTTTTCTTATCTACCACTGTTAAGTGAGATGATGGGCTTAAAAAATATTCTTTATACATAGTGGACAGTTAAGAGCGATGCTGTTTAGCAATAATGAATTAGACTCTACGCTCAAGCCCAACTCCATAAGAGTGCTTATCAAGGTCAGAAAAGGCCAAAAAAAGTTATCCACACTCTAACTGATGGATAGATAAGTGGATAGGCAAACAGACGTTAATAGATAGACAGACACATAGTCTGGACGAATTAAACTCTTCACAGTTAAAAATACGGCTGTTGTGTAACAAAGAGAGACTGTGAAACAATGAAAGAAATAAAGGATAACAACGATATCAGCACAAAAAGACAACAAAATGAAACATCTAAAAAGGAAACACTGATTAAAAGTGAATATTCATTAGTTTATAGTGATTTATTGTTGATATTATTGCTGTTGTAACATGTAGTTCAGAAATGAATAGTACTAATAAAATTTGAATTATTGATTAGTGTCTATATTTAAATAAATAGGTAGCAAGTATAGTAAAATGAATCGGTCAGTCATTGGGACTCGATAAACCATTTCATTTGTATGATATGATAAATTATAATTAAAGTGTATGCATTCAGAATACCTAGAATAAGTTTCAATACTATTGACAAAGTAATAATAGTAGTAGTAGTTGCTGTTGTTGCTTGCTTGCTTGTTGGTTTGTCGGCACTATTGAAGCAAATTAGGCTTGAGAATAAAGTAAATATCAAGCTGGAAAAAAGCACTATATAGTGATGATATAGGCGTAAATATGTACCCCTGGAAGGGCAAAAAATACATAGGGTATTTGATAGACATCAAATAAATATTTCTCTATGTTACTTTGTTGTGCAATTTTAAACATAGTGAACAGTTTTTGATAAAAAAGAGTTAAAAATTTATTTTTTAAATGACTGTAAGCCTAGCAATAAAGAAGATAAGCAGAGAGAAAGAAGCCATCAACAGACATATGCTTGTTCATACACACACACACACACATGCACAAAAAGCTCTCTGAGACCATAAAAGTAACTGAACACAACTACAGATTATACTTAAACATCATTAAAAATATCTGCAGATTAAGTTTGAGTGAACAAAAAGGCAACTACAATGCAAACAACAAAAGTTTATAAGAAACTAGCATGATTGAAGAAGTCACCATTTTTTCCTATAGATTGTGTATTCACTTATTTGAAGAAAGGCAGGATAATAATAATACTGAATAGTAGTTATCAATGAATAAAAAGATTGATTCACTCTAAATGCATCATATCAGTTTGATCAATGTGTTCATATGCCATAGTTTTTTATTTATAGATGTGTGTTGAGTGTGCGCAACAACTTGCAGTTGTGTGTGTGTGTGTGTGTGTGCACGCGTACATGTAACAAACAACGGTCTGTTTTTCTATTTTATAAATAGAAGCAACTCAAAAAAGTAATAGAAAGTAATACTGTAAAAGGTTGTACTTATTTTTTTAAAAATAATTTTCCTGTTTATGTGATTTTATTAATTCACTGTTACTGTGTATGCGAATAAATAAGGACAATTGAGATAAACCAGTAAGTTGTTAATCGGTTCAATATGAAAAAAATTGTTCAATGAAGCCTTGTTTAAATATGGTTTTTTTTTGTGCATGTTGTGTATGCATATCTCCCGTTTATTTTAAGTTGTGCTCCATAAGTATAATAAATTCACATTTATAATTCAAGGATTAGACACGTACACGTACACGCACACACACGCATAGTGTTGTTGTATGTCAACGTAGGATATCAGCAATTTTAAAGTGTTTCAAATTCTAAACGAGATGGGATTGCCGTTAGTGAATAGCATATGTTTTGAAGACTGAGAAGAGAAAAGGAGAGAGAGAGAACGTCAGTGAGAACGACGACGAAGACGACCACGATGACAACAAGAACAGAAGAAAGTAGTACACTAAGCGATCACATTTTGTAAGATTTGACATGTGTGCAGTATCGTCAAGATCTACGCCATCACAACTGGTGATGATGGTGAATAACCTGGTGTTGGCGGCGATAAAGATGAAGTCATACGTGAACCAGCTGTACGTAGATTAGTTGTAGTTCTTGTTCGATTACGTAACACTTGTAACATGATTAGCTTACGATGTCCACTTCTTTCACCGAGTGCAACTAAAGCACGTTTATCATTGCTTATCTTCACCTGTAGTATTTCGATATTCGAGGTGAACCAACACATTTGATTGCCATCTCGTACACGCCATACACGAATTGAACCATCCCAACTCCCTGTGACCACTACCTCAGAGTCTATTGAGATGGCTACACTTAAACCTAGAAATAAAAATGAGAAAAATAAACGGAAATATTTAGAAAAATTAACATACACAGTGAAGGAATGATTGTTTACCGAAAAGACTGTGACAAACATTTAAAGTTGTAGGTGTGGCGCAAAACCTTGACACTATTAAGTTTAAAGGTGCTGAGGTAACTAACATTCAACATCATTTTAGAATCGGAGGCAGAAGAAGCACCTAAATCTTTATCATGATTCCTCTTAAAACTTTTGAAATTCTTGGACGATAAGTTGTGCCCAGAACACGAGTAGAAAGTCAGTTCTTTGGGTTTATATAGCAGCAGCTAATGCTATACTTCCAGGATTAGAAGGTTATTGTGTTCACTTCAGTAATCTTCACAGAATGGATTGACTTCAGTGTAGGTGACACTGGCAATTGATGTCGGATAAGTAAGCATTTCAAGTTAATGCGTAGTGAATGCATGCTTTGTCTTAAATTTGATTTCTTCAACAGTGTGCTCCGATGGATATGCAAAGGATCAAGTTTAGTACCTTCATGCCCTATGGTCACTTGAAGTATATCCAAAGTGATATTTGTTGGCATATTGTGTATGATTTGTGCACAGACTGCAACCATGCAAGTGATGAGTCATTATGGACACTGCCTAGTATGAATAATTCCAAGTAGAGTTTAAGGCTCAATAGTGTCTCCTGATTGGGCACTATCTTAAGACTGTCCTGTATTTACAGTACATATTCTTCGTAAATCACACACTCTGATAAACTCACTCCTACTCAAGGTAAGAGTTTATGTAAAGCAAACCTCAAACTGTCAACTCTTTACAAATCAATAATATTCGACTCACATCATCAGCATGTCCTTCCAGTGTATGCAGTAGACGTTCATCAGGCATTGTCCAAATTCTAGCCAATTGATCCTGTGAACCAGTGACTAAATAATGCCCATCGGCGGATAACTTTACACAATGAATTGTCTCAGTGTGTGGAGGTAGTACAGTTGGATTTCCACCTTCAAGGGTAGCACTAATTTGAATTTGACGCATAACTCGCCCAGTTAACAAATTCCAGACAAATAATTCACCTCGACGTGTGCCTAGAATTGTATTCAGAGACAAAACGAAACAAAACAAAACAATGAATTTTCAGTACAAACGGTGAAAAACCTAAAGAATCAAGTGTTCAAGGACTAAGCACTTTAGGCTAATGAACGCTAGAATATTTGTTGTGTCCCAATCAGAATGATCGACAACTCAGCATCACCACCAATAACATTACAGACGGTGTTGAAACACGTGGTCACCGAGGAGATACATGAACAGGTGAGTTTTAAAAACAGAGAAAAGAGGATTTCCTCGTGACGCATTAAGTTATTAGGTGTGTCGTATCCCTGTTTAATTAAGAAAACTAAGGGATGAATGCTATCTATGTATATTTATCTGAGGATAAAGCCGAAAAAGTTGATCTCTGAGTGAGTTTGTAGGTTTAATTGCCACCATAATTACAGCCTTGTTGGAATGGATCATGCAGCAAACCATGAGGAGCGAGAAGACAGGTATAAGCTGAACCGATGAAAAGACCCTAGAAGATTTATACTTCACAGATGATTTATGTCTAGTGTCTTGTGGCACAAACTCGAAGATCTACAGGCAAAAACCAACAAGTTGACACAAGAGGCAGGGCAGCGAAAACGGGACCTCAAGTGAACGTAGAGAAGACAGAGGTGATGAAGATACCCAAGCAACAGCAGCATCAGCAACAAGCACCAATCACCGTCAGGGGGAGAAACTTAAAGGAAGTAGTCTCTTTCACTCACCTACGTGGGCAGGCAGCATCGTTTCAACTACAGGCGGGACAGGCACAGATGAGGATGTCAAAGCCAGGATCGGGAAAGCAAGACAAGCTTCCCTGCATTAATCTGAAATCAGTGTGAAGATCCACTGCACTCAGCATAAAGCGTGAACAAGATCCGGATTTTCAACACCAAGTCAGTCAAGTCAGTGCTCCTATATGGTTCAGAAACTTGGCGAGTCACGAAAAGCATTTCCAACAAACTGCAGACATTCGCCAACAGCTGCCGCCTACGCTCACTCGATACTGAAGATCAGATCAGATGGCCAGAAAGAATAAGCAACAAGGAACTCTGGTCTGGCCGCCAATCAACCAAGAACCTATCACCCAACAAATACGTAGAAGGAAGTGGAGATGGATTGGATTTGGCATACACTGAGGAGACCATTTCGGGGACATCACGCGCCAGGCCAGACCGTCGAGTTGAACCTGATTGCGAAACGACAAGTTGGGCTTCCGAGGCGAGGGTGACATAAAGGAGATCATGTGAAGAAGAAATGAAAGCTTGTGGCAGTCGTGGTGCCAGGTTTAAAAGACTGCAGAGAACAGAGTGCAACGGAGTCGTGCTACTGAAACCCTATGTTCCACTAGGAATCCTACTTAAAAGTTTCTTATTTGATAGAACAGTAGAGGTTTTGAACTCTTTTCAACTCGTATTATCGTTATTACTCATATTTGTATTACTGTTGTTATGCCATTTCTTATGTGTTCTTAATGAACTGTACAGGATAATTACTGATTATCAAAGCTTCTTTTATATACTTTAATTTCTTGATCAAGTCCTTATATTGATTAGTGAGTTTTCTACCTTAATTATTTTGAAATTTGAAATTAGTCCAAGTATCTTTTAGATTTCCATATCAAGTTTGTATTGTACATTCAACATTTTCAAAACTCATCGATTCAATCTTGACTGAAATTCACATAATCCATTAATCTATCACTTCAACTGTCTCCGATAATAATCACCTTTAAAACTTACAAATTTCAACTTCTTCAGCTTACTCGATTAAAATATTCTCTGGACATAATTTATAGTCGTGTATATTAGATTCATTGGACGTTAAAATCGATATTAAACTCTGGAAAAATCAATAATTTTAAAAGAATGACAAGTTGAGGTCGTATTTATCTTCGCTTTAAAATTGAGGCTTTTGTACACCATAACTATTATGAATCAATAACAACTCACCTGTGACAGCTTCATCGTTTCCAATAATCTCAGTAGCTTCACATTTACCATTGAATGTGATAAATTTAGGTTGATGTACACCCTGATAAAAAGAAAATACCATTAAAATGATAAATTTCCAGCTAGGATTGAAAAGATAAAAGTTTTGGATATAACAGAACACACTATTTTAAAAAAACTGTAGAGGCTAACTGTCAGAATAGTGAAACGTTTGTCATCAAAAGTTACACGAATCTTCTCGAAGTGTACACAAACAACTATTGTTCCGCCTAGCATGTTATGCTTCTACACTGAGCTATGAGAAGTCAGAAACTGGCGTGTAACTGCGAAAACCATTTCTGTCTCAGGCAAACATTCATTATATACACTAAGAAAAAGACTGATCAGTTTGTCCTCATTGGCCTATTGAAACACGAATCTGTATGTGAAGGTCATCCTTAATACACAGCAGCATAAATGAAATGTTGAAGCTAAAATAAGTATGCCTCAATAGCCAATGGCTGGAAATTCTGATTTCTGTTTGGATGGAGTTCAACTGATGAGTCATGAGTTCGAACACAGTTCCACCTACCGAAGTTTTGGCTGCCAGATAGTCTTCGTGTAATTGATATTGATCGTTGTCTAGTGCACAGATGTACACAAGGTTACTGAGCGGGTTTCAATTCAGATATTTCCTGTTCTGACCACTTCGTGTCAGGAAGATGAAAGATGCAGTATGAGTGTAATTATCCAGCAGGATCGGATTCACGTCGTTTTCCAGATAACAAAGTTATGAACTACACTATGTTACAATGATGATAAGCCCTTGGGAACAGAGACTTGTATCTTTAGTCGCTATAGGTACAAACCTTATCACTAAATTTATAAGGATAGAAATGACTTCTTAAATAGGGGATAAAGAAGAAGGCTATTACATTATCTCCATGAATTATAGACCAGTCTGTCATGAAAAGATATACTGCCCACCTGATGTTCACGTTCTCGGATGTCAGGATACAATCAGTAAGAAATTTGGAACCCTGTTGTTGCGTCTGTTAGCAATCATCAGCAAGCTGTACAGTACAGATTTGTGTCACTTAGCCTAGTGGTTAGATTGTCAACTTCATCGACAGACTTTGGTCGGTGCTGAGACTAATAAGTAAGCAATTAGGCTAGTTACCCAGTAGTGACTACTCCACTTCAAAACCATCTCAGTATGAAATTTCTCAGCAGCGTTGACACGTGACCCCACCCGGGGTCGCACCCACGACCCTACCACCTAGCCACTGGGTCGGAGCCGGATGGTCTACATCCTCCTACTTCTGGCAGTTCGATCTCAGGTGGGATCAGGGGTACGCCCTGCCGACAAGTCCCACAGTAGGAAGAAACAGCTGTCCAGTGTTCCCAGGTTTTCATTGGTTGTCCTACTGATCTCAGCCCATGATGAATACCAACTTGAAATTTCATATTTATATTTGAGTTCTTCAGTGTGTGTATAATATGACTTCAAGTGATTTCTTTAGTTACCCAGCTCTTGTAACAGTCTAGCCGTAACTCGTTAGATGTTTTTAAACATATATAATCCATTTACTAGTTTTTTGAATTGACATAAACCTGTTGAATAGTTTCGAAGGGTTCACTTAAATACACGTTGTTTCATTTCTTTTCCATACATTCATTTTTACAAGTCATTCATCATTTCTTATTATAATTAATGATCTGAACCGAAAGTTTTCCCTTTTAGTGAATTTTTAACTGGAATATTTCAAAGTTTTGTTGGCAAAGACAGTTAAGAATGGAAATACCAGCATTGAGTTGATTTCCTCTTAAGAATTGAAAATCAGCAGAGCAACTGTTGGTCAAATGAATTTCTCTCATTGTCTCAGAAACTGAATCATAATCTCCCACTTATCATTATTTTTTTACGATGAAAGTTGAATAACTTTTGTGCATTTATTCTCGCTCTAATTTACGGTGGCAGTCAAGACATGTTTCAAGCATACTATTCCCACAGCTCTTCACAAGTAACCCAACTATTAGACAATAGTAAATCCATAAATTAACATTCAATTATATCGTTAATTGATTGATTATCAGCCGCAAAGAAACCATTGGTCTCTAAGCGTTTGTGTGTGCCTGTTTATCTGTATGCTATCCAATTTGTAAACATTTGTCTATTACTTTCAATCCGCAAGTGTCTTTCTTTGTGTATCATTTAATTTGTGCAATTTGTCATGTCCAATAAATAGATCAATTCCCAGATCGATATATATATATATATATATATATATATATATATATATATATATATATAATGTGCGTTTAGAGATTTAAATTCTATCCAATTAGATGTGCGTGCATCAGATATCCATCACATGACTTGATGCCATACAATAGAATAAACCACAAATACTACTGTCAAATAAATCATTGATAGGAGTAACATCGATTCTTTCGCTTATGCTTGCACGAATACTCACTGGCAATAAATGTAACTTATAGCCAGCAAGTCATGATTGATGAAATGTATAAAATCGAACTACATTATTGTCTCCACAAGTACAGTATCACAAATAAAAGTAATGACAATGATAGTAAAAATTTCAAGAAAAACTTGTAGACATCGCAGCCAGTCAATCAAACCAGTGATGTTAATTAATACTTTAATCATGAATAACTTGCATAGAACTCAAAACTGTAAATTCGATGGCTAATATTCATTTTTCAAAATTTAAATAGTTTGAGAATTTAAATTCAAAATACTGAAAAATCAATCATTTTTTATTTTAAAAAGTGTATTGCATGATATCTGTGAACACCAGTTACTACAAGGTGGAAATCTAAGTGGTTGGTAAAGTTGTTTTGTTTTAACTTGTAGCTAAGCCATCAAAAGGACAATTTTGAAATTTCTGCACCTTTGGTGATGATGATGGATGAAAGCTAGTAATGGAATCTAGGTTGCATGTTTCGTCCGTCCTAGGACACTTCAGTTATTTATAACTATCTAAAACGTATTGAAATGTCATCCAGATCAGTAGAACTTTCTTGTCTTCTTTTTCATACGGGACTGATGTTTTCCTCAGGATCCCACTGGTTGCTGATGAACTTTGATATATAAACTTTGATACCTTTGTTAGAAGACGCTTATTCACTAACTCAGTTTAGTTTAAAAGTATCACATGCATGGAAAAGCGTTTTTATTTATCAGAATGAAATTAGTGTTTTGAACTGCTGAACAGCACAGATATTTAAAATCCGTTCATACTGATCCACAGACTTTGGCAGTCAGGTCAGGGTGATCTCAACGCTATGCAGCCACAGTGTTGGTCTACGGATACCTTCAGCACTCAGAGAAACAGAATTGTTCCGATCAGTTGAATCCACCTTTCTTATGTGGATGCATCAGTATACCATGAATGTGTTCATTATTTACAGTTTCTTCAACTACTCAACTGTAGTGTCAACAAATCTCACTTTAAAAAACACCCGGGAAAAACCAAAGTGTATGTTCCACCACATTATAGTGTCATGTGTTAACGGGATACACTAAAGAACAAAATGAGTACTTGGAGACCCTTGGAACAGATCTGAAGATTTCTGTCATCAAATAATAGTGATGATTAGCTTTTTGAAACTGAAGTTATCAGTTTTTATGCTATTTATTCCCTGGGTTTGAGTCTTAGTGAGGACGACATTGCTCCCTGGGACGCAGGTACATCTAACTGACGAGTCCCAGATAGGATGAAACGCACTTCCTGGATTACACTCCTAGGCATTATTGGTCATCACTATTAAAGTTTTCAGTTATTAAAGAGTCGATTGGAATGACATAAATGTCAATTTTTCCATTGTGAATCATTTAGGTCGTCAAACCACAGAATAGTTACCGATTTCTGTATACACTTTCAAGGGTTTATCTGAATAATGATATCATTTTATTTTGGAGACCAAAGTGAGAAGTTTCTTAGAGAATTGTGGCAAGTCTAGGTAACCAAAGCTGCCTTTGATATTCTCGATAGTGCCGCGTAAAAACTACCTTTCGCTTGAGTTTACAGTTCATTATACAATGAGATGCCAGAAACACACAGGCAAACAGATTGTAAAGACTATATCTTCTACTTTGACTAGGTCCAATTGTTATGTGCTTGAAAGCGTTAAACACATTTGAGTTAGATTCATATATTTGTTCATATTTGCTATTCTGCATTGTTTATCTCACTGAATTGAATTGATAGAATGTTTTGATACTGCCTGGAGTTTAATTTTCAATGGATTTCAATAACCTAATGGATAGTTTTCTTGTGTTTAAAGTTGATTTCTGGGTCCTTATAGGAAGGCAGATTCTCATAAACTAGAGAAATCTGACTGCTTATTTTAGTTAGCTGTTGCTGGGGCTACCTTTAAAGCCATTCATCCCTACCACTCAACACAATGAGAAACGGGATGTTTGGATTGGATGCAGTCTCCATTGAGTATGGAAATGTACAAAGTTCAAAGAGCGTAGGTGACTCAATCTAGTTATCATGAACAAGATTGGTTGATGGACAGCTCAAGGTCATATGCGATTGATTGGCTGTCGATTTCAGATTTCAAGCTTACTGTAATTGGTCAGGTAATTTCGCATACAATACTTTTGCAGTGAACCTTGGCTATTCATATAAACACACTGACACCGTTTTCCTCCTACAGTCAAATACAGATCTTTGGGATATTTGTTATACTCTACATTACTAAGAAATCATCGTGTGAAACATCCCAAGAAATGGATCCAACAGATATCATGAATGAACTATAAATCTTTGAGGTTATCTTGTTTTTAAACGGATGTATTCTTTTTATGCATCTCCGCTAAATGTAGCAGTAGGAAGGATCCTTTTGTCAGTAATAAAAAACTATGACTTCTTTCTGTCTGTCTTCTGTTCTGAGTATTCCTGATTTCTGTTATGCAGAGATGTCAATCCCGTTAACGTTACCTATTTGTTTTGGTCATTCTGTGTTTTTCCGTCAAAAAGTTCCTTATTTTTACAATTACTACGAAACTTCCAAATGTATAAACGGCATTGATGGTGTGGTCACACTCAAATGATCAAGCATATTAAATTGCGCTGGTTATAATTCAGCATATTTGGTGATTTTTCACAAGCAACTGGAATAAGTAACAACCTTCTTGAAACTAAGAAGTGATGTTTGAAACATCACAAGTTCGTGTGCTGTCCTTTCTTCCTCCATCATGACTGGACTCTCCCTTCAGTACCCAAATATCAACATTTCACAAATCCAAATAATTTCGGCTACGCAGTGGTTACTCCATAAAATCATTACCTGGTATCTGTCTTTACTCAGAAAATAACCTACCCCAGTCGATTAATGCCGCTTTCTTAGAAGACAGTCACCTTTCTCTCTATCTCTTCCTACAGCATAGCCTCTAATACGGAGTTGACTGAAATTCAAGCTCATGGTATTGGGGAAACATTTCACGCGAAGAAATAAAGTTTCTACTGATAAGTCAGTTTCAAAGAGGAAGGAATGTACATCCTGGATACATTCCCATGCTAACCCCTGTAGTCAGTATTATTATCGAAATGAAATTATCAACAACATTGAGGCATGAGTATGAGGAACCTATTTGCCTGCTGTCGTCAATTATTTCAATCCAAACAAATCAAAAACTGGAGATTTCAAGCTGCAATATAAAAAACATAGACAATGCCCAACGAGTAGCAATCACTACACAGTAGCCTGCTGGATACCGCTTTAATGTTTGAAGAGATGCGTGCTGAGTTCGAGTTTCACTAGAAAGTAGCAACATCTGCAGCTGAAGAGTCCAAAATAGGTTAAAACACAGCTTTGTCTGTATACCCTATTACCGTCACGATTTCATTCATGGAATGGACCAATGCCATGAACTACTGAATAACTCCATACTATGACATTAAATTAGCTTGAGATGGATGTCCCAAAGTCCTAATGAGAAACTGTGACCTGCGAGGTCAACCATTTGCAAGTGAAGTGGGTGCCAAATCAAGACTTCAGTAGATAGTCATGCTATATCGAGAATCGATGGAACTAGGAAACTATGGATCATTGAACTCCAACCCATTGGCTGAATGGTTAACGCGTCCCTAGTGGGGTCGTGGGTGCGTACTGCGGAGGAGTTTGTTCTAGGAGGAAACAGTTTTCCAGTACCCGCACGTTTCCAATCGTTTTCCAACTGATGGTGGTACACAAAGGATACTACCTTGCCAAAAGGGTTTATGCAGGATTGCAGTTACTCGTCACATCACATTTCCTTTCAATATCAACTGCCTATCAGCATCCATATTGCTTAGTGTATCATGTTTTGTTAACTGATCTTAGTGAGAGACAAGAAAATAAGCCTTTCTTACATTTCACTTGTAAAGATGCCTCTGAGTATTTCATTTATGCTAGGATGAGTAAGTAGTTTCTTGCTATTTGTCATATGGTTTCATTTGAGTTCTCTTTATCAAAGTATGGATTGTAGCAAGGTGTCAAGGCAAAGTCGAAATCCCAAAAATTGCACAAGGAAGAAGGTAGCTTTTGACAATTTCATTATATGGTGGGTGCTTTTGGCTGCCCATTATCCAATCAAGGCAGAAGCCAGTCACAAAATCTGACCAATCATAACGAAGTAATCCTAAAGTGAGTTAGTCAAACAAAAATTAACCAACCATATCATAACACGCCACCTCCAACAGACAGTTAGTAATAAACAATCAGATTAGAGGAATGTATCCTGTCAATCCAAGAACTCAAGGTCAAATCAAAGTGGGCATTATTGCACTTCTGTGATAATGTATCGGTTAACACTGAAGTATCCATCAAACGAACAACTGACTGATAGGAAACTTATCGATTTGAGCAAATTGCACTATATCCACTTGGATAATATACCAAGTGATTTTATTCTTAGCATAAATACAATCCACAATCTCAATGACTGATGAATTGTTGCATTCTTCTTGAGAGGCCAAAAGAAAGACTATATATTTACAAAACAAAGTGAACTTTTTAAAAACTTACTACATAACTAGCAGTTAAATCAAAGACCATAAAGTAGGCCAATTCATCTGTGGGATTATTCAGTCCAGCAACAACAAGGCGATCATCCATAGAGATATTTAGATAGGTGATAGAATCTTTCAGTAATGAATTGACTGGATGATATGGTATAATATGATCTGATTGATTACCAGGTAAATTCCAGACAAGTATAGCTGGTCCTTCTTGTGTCACCTGAGCGACAATCACATATTCACTTGAACGTGTTATACACGTGGCTGTACACATGATTTCCATTGGCATTTCAAGTTGTCTACCTGACGCGAAATCCCATAACTGATAGGAATAAGTTATAAAAAACAAAACAGAATGAAAGAAGTTATACGAAAGTGATTTAATCTATTCTATGGATGTTCATGTATTAAGCTGAGTAGATTCTGGTTGTGCGTCCAGATATCATAATTAGGACACATATCCATAAATTAACAACAGAGTTATCAGGTTACAGATTGTTGAACAACGCATAATCATACTTGACTTAATATCAGAAAGACAGCAGAAAATGGGCGATTGAAAGTTATTGATGAAATGGCTGAAAATATACATCGTGTATCTGACTATTTCTCATCTTTTCATGCTCTTGTTCTCTATACGTCTTAAGATTTGAGTCATTTGGCCAGCATCTCCGATTAGATTATTGATGAATTCTCCGACTTCAACTATAATTAACTGATTGACTCTTTCGAGTTCAAATAAGAATAGAACTTACTGCTAAATATCGAGTAGCGCTTGCTTTTACTTATTCTGCTACTTTAACTTCTAATATATTTACACCATCTGTTTCTCTTCATCCATGAGGAACATTCATAGTGTCCATCAGAGCTATATTGCACAGTCTAATTACTGTACAATCGATTTCCTTCATATAATCCTTTTTGATATAGATTGGTATGATAAGAATTGGCTAGGATGAAATATTTACACAGCCAAAATCAAACATGTTTCTGAATTTAGAAGGTTTTTCAATCTGTTCAATATTCAGACTTAATAACTTAGTAATTTGGTAATTTAGAACAAGTTTTCGTATTTCGACTTTACTTTTCTTCTTGATATGTTTCAACAGACTTCAGAAACCTGCGATGATCTAGAAGTTTCTATCTTTACTCATTCCTTACTCAAAAAGACTTTAAATAATTTGACAGTGAAGATGAGCTAAGCAATTAACTACCACTTATCATTCACCTGAATGGATTGATACTCTGACTGAACAGTTAGACAGCAGTGAAATGATCAACCACAATAAGTAACAAGGATGTACATGATTCAGTAGTTTCAGCTTTTTAAATTAACCAAAAATAATCTATTCAGCCCATTGATTCAAAATTCAATGTTTGATAGAAATATTTGAAATATACACCACGTTTTAAAAAGTTAGTTGACTTCGAGAGGTGATTCCTGAAGTTCCAATGAGAAGTTGTGACACGTGGGACAAAACTAGTGGAAATGAGGAGAAATACTCAACAGTCACATTGGGTGATGGTCACTCTATGTCGTGAACTGACAGAAGTGGGAAATATAGACCAGTGAATTCCAACCCAGTGGCACAATTTTAACGTGCTGTCCACAGAACCTGAAGGTTCTGGGTCCGATCCGTGGCTGAGTGGGGTCATGGGTGTACACTACTGAGGCGTCCCATACAGATGTTCAGTGCTCCCAGATTTCTAATGTTCCTCCAACTGATGTTAGTCTGTAATGAATCCAACCGTGAAGTGAATAAATCCTACTACACCCCCAAATTGTATGAATTGTTTGTTGTGGAGAGACGTACAGAGAGACACAGAGTATATTAAATATTTAACCAATGAGCATTTAATCTGTACAATACATTTTTGTATATAGATTAGAAAGTAATTAGATCAATGAACTTCGTTTGTTGTTTTTTCCTTCCTGAAATGATTTCTAATTATTTGATCAGTTCTATATTTATTGATACTCCATACTTATAGACAGTTTCAACATGATTTGTGCTTTTATTTATCAGACCTAACTCTAGGCAAAAATAAAAACAGGTTTTCAACAATTACAGCTTCAAGACTGATAGATTTAAGCAAGTTGTAGAATCAGAGACTAGAGAAAGTCATTCGCCTATTAAAATGCTGATAATATTTGCTTTGGAAACTCTTTTGAAATCTTTTTTTAAAGTGCTTTAGTTATAGTAAGGAGTTACATTCGAAAAAGCTCACATGCTTGTGGCCTTGAGTGACCAATCGGTAAGATAAACTGCCCAGAATTTTAGAAAAGCAACAGTCAGTAGAAGAGATAACGTCTAAGTTGTCATAGTATTATGCCGTTCAATAAACCACATAGAAAAGCCGCATGGATTTGATAATGGAACGGAACACAAGTTAGACTAGGGTAGATTTAGTTAAATATTGACTAAAACCTGATGAAATCTACCTTATGAGACATCCTTCTGGAAAATCTCTGTCTACTGGTTTCTAGGGTGATAGCTCGATCTGACTATGCTGTCTAGAATGCCTAGGATGATAACCGAGGTTTCACATACAATCACCAATCTACATTTCTTATCACAGTATAGTTAACCCAATTAGGACATAAAATAAACCAACGCCAAAAAATACACACAATAACGCGCAAACAAAAAATAGGATAAAATCCCACATTCACATTCATATTACTCACTTGCAGACGTTTCACCTTGATTTCACTCGGTTCATTCAGTGTATCCAGGCCAGCGATGTCATCCACAACCTGAGCGACAAGCACAGTATCATCACAGGCTAAATGTAGATCTGTGCAACCAAACTCTTGACCATCCATGATTTTGCACAAATCTCCTGACTATGAAGGATATGAGATAGGAGAAAAGAAAGTCAGGTCATTATTTAATGTTAGGGGATTACAGTGGACCCCCTCCCCAAAATTAACCCAGTTTTCCTTACTGACCTGTTTCGAGATGCTGTTTTTCAGAGTCAACTAAGTCATTTGTGAAGACTGTTACTTGGTGGTGAGACTGAGTGATGGTCATGGCATCTCACATCTTGAGTTAGGCGAGAACAACTGACTGACGCTGCCTGGTTTTCCATGGTTCTCCAGCTCGGGTCAATAGGCAGCAAATACTTTAGAAGTGCTAAGAGTGTAACTAGTTAAACAGTTTCAAATTTTTAGTCCGCACTTTGGACTTTATATATATCCTGTACGGCTTAATTAAGATAAACTATTTGTGTTTACTCGTTAACCAATCAGAAAGCAGTGATATTCTCACTCCCGATTGGTCTATTTATGTCAGACAGTCAGAATGAAAATGATCAACTTGGTTTTGCTTATTGGTACATTAGATGCCTCAATACCATGCTTAAGTAAATCTTCAGAAGATAGCTTCAATTCTGTCAAGTTCTTGCTTATCCATTATCAGTAAGGACAACGAAATCTCGGTGGCTACACATATCTGGTGAGACAAACTTGCACATACCATCCACTGAGGAAAAAACAAACTGATAATCCCTTCAATTCTTGTACCAAACATTATGAAAAACTATAGATCTCCAATGTGATATATTAGTATCCCCAACCCGTCGCATGTTCATTCACGTGATCTCTGCACTCAGAGTTTACTGAATGTTATATTTGAAAGTTATTTACAAGCTGACTGATTCACGCTGACACTTCTACCAGTTGAGTTACTTCCACACTGATCAGCTGTAGTGTCAACAAGGTTTCCATTGGAGAATATCCAGCCAAAATCATGTAGTGTTATAAAAATAGTGGTATATACTACTAGTGAACAAAAAGAGTAGTCGAAAATCAGTCATGCTCTTCTACAGAGATAAACAATTATACAAGTTATCATTATTTGTTGACCAGTTTGGTGCACACAAAACTTTCAGCATGAAACAACTATTAGGTATTTGAACTGCTTTAATTTAGCTAGAAAACCCAACGAAAACCAGCCCAAAACGGTATCTAAATAACTACTTATCATGTTCTTTTCAGTAATACATCTTAGAGATTTTTATTAGCTGGATATAACGGTTGTCGAGACTCTGAACTGACTTTTAAGTTGGATGCTGCACCTTATGTGATAAGCAACTCTCGTGATTTTATCTCCCAGGGATAGATTCATCGGTGTGCCTGATGACACATTGACAAAACACCACTGTCCACCACAGTGTTCGTACACCTTGATTTCTATCAGTAAACTCTTCAGCCTAAACACAATGTGACCAGATAACTACACTGTAATTGATTAGGATGTTGAATGAAAACGTTTGATGGAGAACCCTCCACATCGTAGCTGCACAACTACACTGTTCATCTAAGGAGTCGAGTTGGTTTTTCTGTTAATTTTATCATTATTATTAGTCCCTTGAGTTCCTAGTGGAACATAGGGCTTCAGTAGCACGTCTCCAGTGACCTCTGTTCTCTGGGATCTTTTGAACCTGGTTCGACGACAGCCCAGAAGCTCTCATTTCCTCCTCGCACGTTCTCCTCCATGTCACCCTCGCCTCCAACGACCAACTCGTCGCTTCCCATGGGGATTCCACTCGAGGGCCAGGCCTAACGCGTGATGTCCCCAGTCGGTCTTCTCAGTGTATGCCCAATCCATCTCCATTTCCTTCTGCATATTTGTTGCATGATAGGTTCTTGGTTGGTTCGTTCCCAGAGCTCCTTGTTGCTTACTCTTTCTGGCAATCCATCTGATCCTCACTAGCGAGCGTAAGCAAGTGTTGATGAATGTCTGTAGTTTATTGGAAATCCCTTTCGTAACGCGCCAAGTCTCTCAACCATACAGAAGCACTGACTTGACTGAGTTGGTGTTGAAAATCCGGATCTTGTTCCACATGCTGAGTTGAGTGCAGAAGATCTCCACACTAGTTTCAGGCTAATGAACGCCTGTCTTGCTGTCTTTCCAATTCTGACTTTGATATCGTCTGTCCCGCCACCTGTAGTTGAAACAGTGCTTCCCAGATAGGTGAAGGAGGTTACTTCCTTTAAGTTTCCCCGTTGATGGTGATTGGAGCTTGTTGTTGTTGGAGTTGTTGGTGCGGTATCTTCATCACTTCTGTCTTCTCTATATTCACCTGAAGTCGTGTCTTCGCTGCCTCGCCTCTTCTGACAACTTATTAGTTTTCGCCTGTAGATCTTCAAGTTTGTGTGACATCAGGCACAAGTCATCACTGGCGAAATCCAGATCTTCTAGGTTCTTTTCCGCAGTCCAGCCAGCGTATCCCCCTCTTCTCACAGCTCCCCACTGTTTGCTGCATGATCCAGTCCAGTCCAGTCGACCACAATCAGGAATATCATTGGTGATAATAGGCAGCCTTGTCTTAATCCTGTCTTCACTTCAAAAGCACCACTGAGCTTCCCATTGTAAATTACTTGGCATGTGGAGTCTTCATATAGTTGTTGAATGAGGCTGATAACGATTTGTGGTATTCTGTTGTATTGAAGCAGTTTCCAAATTACCTCTCGGTCGACGCTGTCAAAGGCCTTCTCAAAGTCGATGAAGTTGAGGTAGAGAGTTGAGTTGACTGCCATTCTATACTCTGTTCTATGATGATGCGAAGCGTTGCAATTTGGTCTGCACATGATTTGTACTTCCTGAATGCAGGTAGCCTGTTCCGGTCGTAGTTTTGAATCCAGTGCATCCTTAAGCCTCTCCAGGATGATGCGGCTTAATATTTTACTTGGGGTGGACAGGAGAGTGATTCCTCACCAGTTCTTGCAAACACTGAGGTCACCGTTCTTCGGCAGTTTGACAAGGTAACCCTTCTTCCAATCAATGGCCAGGTACCTTCCCATCCTTCTACACCTTCTGCAATAGTGGTGTGGTGTGAGCATGTCCGCTGTTGTCTCTGCGTCTGTTCTCAGTGCTTCTGGCGGGATTTCATCTGGTCCTGCTGCTTTCCCACATTTCGGTAGCTTTATGGCACTCAGGACTTCCACTTTTGATGTAGGATTTATGTTCACTTGTAGTTCAGCGGTTGGGATGCAGGTGGTATTTCTGGACGAAGAGCAGGTGGTGGTGGTGGTGGTGGTCGATTCAAGAGCTTCTTGAAGTGGTCGGCCCATTGCTTCCTTTGTTTCTCTTCTTTCGTAATTAAATTTCCGTCATCATCTTCCATTGGTTTCGTCTGCGTTGATGTTTTCCCAGATAGTAACCCAGTTATTTGATACAATGTTGTCAGGTCTCTGTCTCTTCCACCTGCAGCCTGTCTGTTCTGCTTCACTTGCCAGTGTTTCGTAGAAGTGTCTTTTGTCTTTCAGTGCACTCTTCTTCACTTCTTTGTCCAGTGTTTTATACATTGTACACAGTTCCTCCTTGCACTGGTTTATCTTCTGCTTCACCATCCTCCTCTCCTCTATCAGCTTCCATGTGTACGTCGAGATCCATTCCTTATCCTCTTTCTTCTTCCTTCCTAATACTTTTGTGCAGGTTTCCTTCAACATCTCTTTCAAAGAATTCCAGTGTTCTTCAACACAGGTTTCTTCAAGGATGTTCCTCGATATCTCCCATTTTGTCTTGATGGCTGCCGTGAAGATGTTCCTCGTAGTTTCGTCCTTCTGTTTGTGTTCTGAGTGTTGAACTTGAACTGTGGTCTATCACCAATTTCCTTGAAGGCTTTTAACTTGATTTGGAAGTTGGGTTCCTTGCACTGGATAGTGAGTGGTCTGAACCTACATCTGCTCCTCTTCTTGACCTTGTGTCAAGTAAGCCGACTGCGTCTCCATTTTCTTGAGATTGAGATAAAGTCGATTTGATTTTTAGTGTATCCTGGTATCTGGTGAAATCCATGTCGCTTTGTGGATATCCTTGTGCTTGAACACACTGCTTCCAATCACCAAATCGTTGAATACACAGAATTCTGCAAACAATTCTCCGTTCTCGTTCATTTCTTAGAGTGCTTCTAGACTCATGGTTAGTTCTATTCCTGTGTTATCCCCTCCTAGCTTGGCATTAAAACATGTCACCCATTACAATTTTGATATCGCCAACTGTGGTCTTGTCCAGTGTTGATTGAAGTTGTCTGTAGAAATCCTCCTTTTTCTCTTGCTCTGTATTATTTGTAGGTGCATAGCATTGTATGATTGTGACCTTTCTTCCTTTTGAGTTGAATCTTGCTGTCATGATCCCAGTACTGGGGGAGATTGGTTCCCACTGCATGAGGGCCTTCGATGCTTTTGGGGACATCATGATACCCACTGGAAAACTCAGTGTGCTCGTGGTTGTCGTCTGGGTAACAATATCTGAGTAGATTATTGATTCTGCAGTTGACAGTTTGGAGAGTCCACTCCCATTCCATCTGCCTTCGCAAATTCCAAGCACTTCAATATGATACCTCATCATCACCTCGTTTGCAATCTGGGCTGCCTTGCTGGGCTCAAACATCGTGCGGACATCCCATGTCCCCACGTTTACTTTCGCTTTCATCGAGGGAAAGAAGACATATCGGCCAGTTGGCTTCCTGAAGGTTTTCACCAACTGGCGTCATTTTGCCCCTCCGATTCCAGTGAGGAATAATTTTGTTTTTATTTTTTATATATCGTTTGTGCTTTGAAGTTTCTTTAGCGGTTGGATTTGTTTTACGGGGTAGGGTTGCTAGTGGTGTTCCCAACCTTCCCTCTTTACCCGGGCCTACGACCGGCTAGTAACTAGTGAACTAATTAACCAGGCGAATCAAATTAACTGAAACACCTTCCCTTATACTGATTGAAAAATGGAAAGCATGAATCTCAAATAGGCATTGCCGATAGCATCATTCTATTTATTGAATAGCTTTTAACTGTCTTATTCAGTAACATTAGTGTACAGTTCGGCTGAAGGGTTTTCAACTGACCCCCTATCCGTTTCCGTATGACCATCTACCATTGATGTATGGGCTTCTATGCGGATGCCGTTATTCTTAGTCTTGAAAGTGATGACTTATAGTGGCAAAAAGTGAAAAAGGTGATGGGCGTTTCGTCCCATTTTGAACTTGTCAGTTAGGTACTCCTGCCTCCTTATAAGTGCATGAACAAGTGTTGTCCACGCCAAGACTTGAACCAAGGACCGTTCGCTTCGTACTTTAGAGTGCTGTCCACCAGGACAATAAAGCACAATAGTCCCTCCTTCTGCTACACCTTGACCCAGATTTTCATTTAACCTTCAATCATCACTATCAAGAATACAAGTCTGTCAAACCACGACTGGATTTTATGTATTACCCCACTTCTTTTATTCACGAAATATGTTGTTTCATTTCAGTGAGTTATAATGCTTTGTGGACAAGAAATTCAGCTATTTGTAAACAGTTAACTCAGACTGCCAAAGATACATAGACGGATAATAAGCACGAGACTTTATGTTCATATGAGACGTAGCTAATATGTGCGAGATTAATCACGTGCCAGATAAGCGTTAGAAGTGAATCAGCAACAATCATGTGGTTTAAAAAATTACGTATGACTCTAAAGTTCATCCGGCGGGGCCACCAAAATACCCAATTAAGTTTCTGGATTTAGTTTACAATGGCAGACTTTACAGAAACTAGAGAGAGGTAATTGACTTTGTCAGTAGTGCTTGGAATGACCTTTAGAGTCACGTGATAGTTACTACTAGACAAAGTAGTAGCTTCAACACAGCAACAGCCATGGTGACGTTGAATAGAATTAGGACTGAATTTTCAAGATTTTACTATAGGGCATATGTATACTGTTCTAAAAAGGCTACTGAATACTTGACAGTAGACTTACCTGAGTATCCCAAACTTGTGGTGGACCCATTCCTGAACCAGTTACAACATATTTACTATTCTTTGTGATGACAACACAGTCAACTTTCATACCCTCCATATTGTAAACATTTTGACGAGCGCTTAAATCATCCATAATAGGCTGATCAATGCGTATTGTTGAAATACCAGATGCTTCAATTCTGAAATGTTTAGAGAGAAAACAGATGAAAACATGTTCACACCTCAATATCAATAGAAAAACTATTCAGAATATAATTTTCAAAATGATGGAAGATTAGCAACCACATGACCTAAAGATTTTCATAAAGGATGGAGGAAATGATCTCCTCTTATGCAGAGGTATGCACATCCAGATGAAAGTACTTAACTAGGCCATTTGAAAGAAGATATGTCAGGAACACAATATGAATATTCTTGACCATAAGGCAGAAATCCGCTTCAAAAGCGATCCTGATCAAGGCAGTTTTCTGTTGTTGATGGATAGTGGCCAGCAGTAGAACTCAGAATGCACATTTTTTCCTATTTTGGGACCCATAAGGTGGGTGTCCCTGTCTCTCAGTGACATGCACTCGGGAAAATCGCTTCAAAAGCCAAAACGTTATCCACTGGCCCATCAAGTTGCGATAGTCGCTTCTTGTGCCACAGGTAGAGTTTTTATGCTGTTACTTGTATTAGCCCGTCTTGTACATCGTGACTCGATGGCCGTTTAAATAACACTTTGGTCTTTGAAGCGATCGACCTTGGATTCGAGTCCTGATCAGAAGAACATTGCTCGCTGGGAGATAGGTACACCCAGCTAGTGAGTCCAGAAATAGGACAAAACTCGTGTTATGGGTTCCACTGCCAGTCCCAATCTATCATCAGTATGAAGCTTGAATATAGGCAGTGTCAAAGCATCCGTGCAGCAGCCCATATACCAATCGAGATCGATCGAATTCGGTTCAGTCAACGAAGAGATAATACAAGCAACAGCATAACAAAGTAGTTTTCATCACAGATTGACATTAGATGGAGAACCCCTGAGAAACTGGGAGTACTGGACAACCATCTCATCCTACGTTTGAACTTGCCACCATTGAACATTTATAGTCAGTGACGGGTCTAACTCTGGGTTGTCAGGCCTCGTAACCAGCAGGTTGCGAAGTCGATAATAAGAACACCTACCCGATATTGACACCATTTGTAAGTTGTGAAATGAAAGAAGTAGAGATTTAGTACGGTGGCCGAATGGTAATGTGCTTGTTGTGAGACTTTAAGGATCTTGGCTCGATCCGTCAGGCAGTTATGAATGTTCAGTGCTGAGGACTCCCTTACTAGGACTAAACAGCTGTCCATGCTCCCGGGCTTTCAACGGTTCTTTAATTTGTCAGTTCACGATAAAAACTACATGGAACTGGATCAGTCTGCCGCTACAAACTACCAAATAAAAAAATATAAATCAACTGAATACGTTCAAATTGCTATGTCACCTCCAAAATATGATGACTACTGTACAAAATGTCAATAATAAACATTCTTTCCTCCGTCTCAGTTTTCTCGTTACTACAGTTTCTTATAGTAGAATAGAGAAAAGTAATTCGTAGTTTCAACAATTGTTATACTGGCCTTTAAAGTCAGTCGCATTTGCTAGATATCCTATCAAATTTTGTTTTGCTACTTGTAATTTTCCGTTGCTATACAGAGCTGAATTGTTCAATCTCTGTTAACAGATAGGCTCCTATGCAGATGTCTGGATACCGCCGGATATTCATGACATTTTATTCATCTTGGTGACTAGCAATGGGATCAGGAACTTGCTTCTCGTTCTTTCTGGGATTCCTCAGCCGGATATACCTATACTCCAGTGGGCGATGTTGTCCACACTGAGACTCGGACCTAGGATACTGGGTTTCTGGACTCCACTGCTAGTTACCAAGATGAATATTTTATTAAATACGTGATCATTCATTGCGGGTATGATTAAATTTTAAGGTCACCGTAGGAACGACTGAAACAGTGAATTAGATTTCTTTATTCTGGATGGAAAGAAAGATTTTCATAAAGTGGTCAGTTTGGTTGTTGTTAGGATGGTTTTTAAAGTCAGTCTAACGGCAGTACAGCGCACTTATTTTCTCTCTCTGAGTCAGCTTACGTGACTTTAGTGGTGGTTGGATTAGTCCAAACATAGCTACCTAGGGGAACACCAGTAGATAGAAAAATTTTTTCCATAGTTTGCTAATCATCAGACCAAAAGAATACCTCGTCTGAGGTTATGTTTACCAACATTGGCTACGTAGTCATGTCAAGAACACGGAACATTCCATGGGAAGTATGGGTTTCTTGTATGGAAATCTGAACAATATCCTCTGATAACATCCAAACACCGTTTGATATTGGTCAACACTGGCATGGAGTTGGAAAACATGTTTTATCTCGCCTGGTACTCCTCAGCTGTATACACTTTTCTTGTAATCAACTAGACAATAGGCTAAACGGTACTGATCAAAGAGATCCTAGAATGAGTCACATAGAAATTCTAGGTTGTTATGACAGGTTGAATACTTTGATGCTTGATTTGCGCCATAATGCGAATAACTTTCATCAATGGGATACAGATACCACCGGTAAACGAGTTTCAAATAAGATGAAACATGCGTCTTAAACTCTGCTTTAACTAGCTAAGAAGCACGATTCACCAACTGAAACTCCTATTTGTGCTTTTATATACAGCTCCGTAGGTATGGGTAAGAAAGGATGATCTACACTGTTATATTCTCCTTATAAATTGAGAAAGATTTTTCCTGTTATTTTAACAAGAATCAGTGTCTTCAATGTCTGGTAGCTTTAATTTTCAAAACATGCATCTCGATGGATTTCTGGGAAAATAATTAATTTATAGCTTGTAAACAAAGATATGTGGTAATCAATGAAATATTTTATTTCTATCACTTTCAATAATCGAGGAAATCGGTTTCTCTTTAATTGTTGGTAGGACTGAAAAAGTGAAGATTATGTGATGTCCTATAGGGCTGATAACTCAATGGATGGTGTTTCACTGTCAAGTTCTAAACCATTTTTAGAATAAGCTTCATTTGGGAAGAGTGATGGTGTACTTATTGTATATCAACAAGCTTGAATTTGACAGACTAATAGTGGTAGAAATCTGTGCTGTCATTGAAAAGATATCTTGACTGTTTACCTAAGAAGTAGTCTCCTCTGAGACTCTAATCGAGTACCCAGAGGTGGCCTTCTGTTTCCTAACTCGCAAAGAATATTGTATCAACCATTCTTATCCGGATTCGATCCAAGAATCTATGACTTCTTAGTAAAGTTGTAATTATTACTACGACTTGTTCTTTAGTTTCATGAACATAAAATAAATGAATGACTCTGTCCGAAATGAACTTCCACTACCGTCTGGGACAACTATTGACAAACTAGTCATTAGTATGTATCAGAAAGTAGTGAATGAGGAAGGTATTACTAAGGCGTGAAAATAATGCAAACTGTATGTGCAATAAAGTCTAGAACGTACCTTGATATCTACTAATAATATTCAACCTAAAGACGGTCATAACAAATCTGGTAAATCGAATAGCCATGAGTAATCGATAATTTTTACGCTTTTTACACTTCACCGTTTCCCCAACCTTTTGTCTTGTCAAGGTCGTTCATTCCCTTGTCAATTGAATGGGTCATTTAAAAAGAAATGCTTATCGTATGTTGGTTAGAGAAAATTTGACTCGACGCATAACTGTCCAATCACTCGAAAAGATTGACAGTAGAGATTATGATGCGTGTGTGTGTGTGTATGGGGGAGGGTGGTGAGAATATGTACTACCATGTAGTTAGTCTAACTTCGGACGATCACTCAGTAGGCAGGTTATATATTTTGATGTGACCTAAATAACTGAAGATGTCAAAAATGTATGTTTACAAAAGAATACAAATAAGAAACACAAACTAAGGGTTACTAGTGGGGTTGGAGTAACACAGATACCATTCATTTTCGCAGAATCGATAATTAAGATTCGAGGAGACAATATGCTTACACGAGAATGCATAAAGGACAGATTCTAAGCTAGGACGGAACAGTTATTCAATATTGCTTTGTCGTTTGATACTCGGAAGCTCTCTTTGCTTGACCTTTGTTGGCAGATTGGCTCTTATGGGGATGCCTACACACTACCCAATCTCTCATTATGTTGCCATCTGCTTGGTGACTAGAAGTGGAATTCAGAACTCACGTTTGATCCTCTTTAGGACTCACTAGTCAGCTGGATGTACATACACCCCAGTGAGTGATGTTGTTTTAACCAATGCTCGAATCCATGACTCATAGTTCCAAACGCGAGTGTTCCCCACCACGCTACTGGGGCACGAGTACCACCTTTTATGCAACAGGTATTGGTTGTTGTTTTGGTGCCTGTAATTTCCCGTTGCTGTACTCAGTCGAATATTGCCTTGTTTTCTGAATGACGATTTATATAATTTTGTGTGATGGGGAAAGACAAAATAGGAAGTTAATACATTTGGTTATTGTTCATAGTTGTGGAAATTTTTGAGCGTCAGTGTTTGATCTACACAGTTGTGTGGTTAGAACGAACTTTTAGTCGGTAGAATAAGGTTCCAATAGACCAATGGAAACAAAACATTTAGTCTCGAAACAGTTAGTCACCTCAATAAATTTAGACAAAATAATCCAAAGACGTAGTTTCGCCTAAGATGTATGTGATGTATTAAAGCGATAGAGCCTTACAAGCAATCTGAGACAATTATTCATAAACCAAGGAGTTCAGATACCTTTTCTGCATTCAAGAACAATTTCTTGCTATATCACATCTTCCTTGACAACTCAGCTTTAATGCTAAAAGTGGCTAACATATCATCAGTCTCTTTCCGTTTAAACGAACATGTGGATCTTCTGGTACTGTGTCTGTTATCAACCGCTTTCGAAGATGAAATTCAACTCTTAAGATTGTTGTTCATCGCAAGTGGATACCCAGAGATGTTCATAGATAAAAATCCACATTGATATACTACCCATTAGTCTCCCATGAATATGGAGAAGAAAGAAAGCTACTTTTTAGCTTAGAATACAATGCAGATGCAGCAGACGAGGTATAAAAACGCAGACTAATGAATATTGTTAAAAGAACATTCTGTGCAGCCACTCTGCAAGTAATTTATGGTCGTCACTCAATCGTGAACACGTCTGCGAATGATAAACTGTTACTGTTAGCCATTTTAATGTGCATATATGAATTCACCTGTCCCTGCAGAGCTACGAAAACTGGTCGTACACAAAGGTAGATTGTCTAACGTCGATGCCTACACCTTCCAACACGGGTCAATGAAGTTAAACACAGATCAACTAAAACCTTCATATTACAATACTTCTGGTTGACAGTGGATACAGTTCCAGAAGATTCATTTTAACTAGTCAATAAAGTACAACGTTTTTAAGCACATCCTTTTTCATGATTCATGTATATATGCATGACAAGTAAATGTATGTCTTTGTGTAACCAGATCCTTTGAAATCTATTGCGCAAAGAGATCACATGTTCCGCATAAACCAAGTCTTTTATTGTTATATCGTTATTTAGTCTTTTTCTTAACATATTTTTATGCATATTTGTTAGATATCTGCCCGAAAAAAGTTGTTCTCACACTCACAGGTCAGTTTTTTTTTCGTCAGTTTTTTTCATAGCTCAATGAATCATATGGAATTGGTGTGTGGTTCGTCTACACTTAGAGTAGCCATGACTCTCCAAGGTAATCGAATACCTTGTCATCTAATTAGTGATGCACGTAAATGCCTATCCCATAGCTCACATTTAGTCGTCCTTGGTTGGATAGCTGACTTCGCTAGTGATTCTGATACCTATGATATTTCGAGATTAGTCTCAGAACGGTGGATCTTCTGGTTGTTTTCTCCTGATAAGCAGATATCAACTTGTAAACCAACTCACCATCTTTCTATTCAATGTTAGGGTTTCAAAGAGAAGAAACCTACGTGTCATGGATAATGAAGGAGCTATTCAGGTGTTCAGAAGTACTGTGGGGCACCAAATCTGCTTGCTTGGGCGGAAACGTAACGTGATTCGCCTGGCTAGGCTGGGCTAGGGAATAGGCCTTGAAAAGCAGTTGCCGAATAACTCATGAACCTAGTCAATTGTCTGCTAACATCACTCGGACAGTGAGGGCTGAAATGCCTGGATTCTATCTCAGCAACGGAGGTGAGATAGAAGTTGGTATTAACTGAGCAGTGGGCAAGATATGCAACCAGTTTTAGTGGGATAACCAAGGCCTGCCACTCGATGCTGTCTCAGCTGATGAGGTGCGGGTAGGTACTCTGAACTCCAGTGCCTTCTCAGTTAGTAGGAATCCATAGTATGATGTGTACACCGTTTCAGGCAGATCAACAACTGACGTTGAGCTGACCTATTAAAATCAGAATATTTACGTTTCATTATCTTTGTTTGTTGTCAACTCGTTCACTTGATTAAGCCGTAATGAAGGGTAGATGAAAACCGCAAAATCCTAATCAAGGCCTTGACACTACGTTCTGAATGCAAGTGATACTTGTCATGGATATAGGATAGGACCTGTGACCTGGCATAAGCTGAATGACAGTTCTCATTATGGACTGGCATCAGTAATTGAATTGCTTGTGACAAAGAAGCATATGATAACTGTCTCGTTCTAGTTGAGGACTTTTAGACAGTGAGAGTCTACATCCCTTAGATCATTTCAGTACGTAGTCATTAGGTCATTTAGTAAATTAAATTTTCCTAACTAATTAAGCTAATGGAATCTTCGAGCTGATGAACTTTATCTCTGAGGGAATTTGTAGGTCTGAGTATCACTCTACTCCAAGAATGGCTAGAATTTCTATGTGAGGTTTTCGATGTTCTTCCTTTATATGAACACACTATAGAAACTGTGAACTCCAAATCAGTGGTGTTACGATAGGCTGCTTATACTATCTGTCTACCTGACGAATAAACCAATGAAAATCAAATTTTCTGCAAAGAGAACTTTTCACTGTGATGTTCCATGATTGGAAGTAATCATCGAGAATCTCGCTTCGCTAAGATTTCATGCTTGCCAACAGTCCAACTCACCAGTAAGATATATCTGCTGCCATCAGTAAACGGATACTCTGTTGGAGTTTCAAATTCACATCAACCAGTATTGCAGTGATGAATAACACCACTGAGCAACTGAAGGATCATTCAGTTGTGAATTCTTTCGACTCTTGTCACGTGTTAACCATTTTTTAATAAGCAAAGTGATTATTCTGACTTTAGTTTCTCTTTTAGTCTAATGGATAGAGGACTTCTTTCTGTCAGTACTTCTAATATACGTAGTTAACTATTGTTTTTGGAGATGTGGGTCTCCAGATCACGATCAAGCGCTTATCTTGTAATATTCAGCCCCAATTTATTCTTCAGTTTACTCTGATCTGATTGATCTCTCTCTCAACTAATCAATGAATAAATAAATTAACTGATCTAGCGATCATTGGTGACTACCTTCCAGATGTAATTCCTGAAGTTCCAATGAGAATTCGTGACCAGTGGAGTCAACCAAGCTGAACATGAGAACGGCTACTCAACGGTGATATTGGATGTAGATCGCGCTATATCGTGAGCTGACACAAGCACGAAATATGGACTATTGAATTTCGAATGTGCACGTGACTGCTGTCTATGGAGGGAGTAAGACAAAAAGGTGGTGGCTCACTGTGAGATATCCATCACCATAGTTTCTTTTGAAACGTCATAGTGTTCAAATCGGGAGTTACTATGCAGTTAACGGGAAAGGAAAAAAGCAAGCCACAGCGAAAAGAAATATTATACACCATATACTACTGACATGTGAGTAGTATATTATATGAAGTAAACTGTTTTACACAAGAAAACCATTCTGAGGAAATTTTTCTTCAAGGTAGTTAACAACAAAACAAAAAGCATAAAGAATATGCAGGTGCACACACACACTGAAATATGGAAACTCACTGATCACCAAGATCCAGCCTATGATGCTGTCCAATAGGATAATTTGTCACTGATAAAGGAGGTTTAATGATGCGTGACTGAGTCTGTAGGGACTGCAGACTTGTTGCAGTCATACCACCACCAGTCTGAAGTACAAAGGAAAACACAGAAAATAACAAATTTTCACAAAATATTACAGTTGAGCATATTTAAAAGTTGGAAATACGAAATATGAGTGCTGTTGGGCCAGGTAAATCAACTCAAGTTGATATTGAATAGTTGAATACGTTTTTGAAGCATCAAAGGGCATCACCCTTGAAACTCATGTCCTGGACCCAGGACGCGAGTTTCGTCCTACCTTGGGCTTGCCAGCTGGGTGCCACTGCATCCCAGTGATTGTTGTTCCCACAGGGGCTCGAACCAGTGCCCTTCGCTTCGAACGCCAGATCGTCATCTACTATGCCACTGAGGCACGAGATCCTCCTATCACCGAGTATCAGTTGTCATTACTTGTTGATATTTGTGAATGACCCCTAGGTGTTCGAAGCTACTAGTCCCCGGGTTTGAGTCCCACTGGAAACAGCGTCACTGACTGGAGTTCAGGTGCACTCAGCTGATGAATCCTAACTGGGAGGAAATACCCTTCCTGGGTTCAGCAGCTAGCCATTATCAAGAAAATGCAAACAGAACCGATAATCAAGCGATATCGAGGCATCTGCATCGAAAGGAACCCGTATGCCAACGCAGGTCGATCGATTCGGTTTAGAATAATAATGGAAGAATTAGAAGTATCAGTGAACAGCTTATCGCCTTTTGTGTAACTTACTGATTGATTAGACTGAATTAGGATCCAATGCTCATTTGTGGTATGATTTGAGATGTATATCTGGGAACTGTGGGGCCAACCAAGTAGAGAATGACGACCGGCTACCATTAACGATACTGTACCACAATCAGGCTATGTCGTGAGTCAACAGAAGTTGAAAAAGTAGACTACTGTATTCCGTTCCGCTAGACCTGGATGTCGTTGGTTCTATCCTTCATTAAGTCATAGATTTGCATTGCTAAGGAGTCCCAAATTGGGCTGAAACAGCAACTCAACTGTCTCAAATTTCCAATAGTTTTCTGGCTTACTTCAATTAACGACTGAAATTGCTTCCAAATTAAATAACTACTGCATTCTTATTGTTATCAAGGTTACCTCATAATCCATTCCTAACACCTGATACTGAAGTAAAGTACACAGCAGTATTATGTAGCCCAGATTTATGATGAGATTTCAGACTTGTTTGACAAGCTTCAGTCAATCATTGAAGAATTTACGGTTATCTGAGTTTCCATGCAATAGCCCATCCGTCTTCAGAATTCACTCCTACTACATATCACTCATGGTCTCTGACTTCAACATTTGGCAATGAAAACTGAAACACTTGAGTGAATGTTAGTTGCCAAGGGTTGTGGGATAGACTCCATTGACATATGCTTACAGGGCTTCCTTCTAAGGTGTAATATAATCATATTCTGGTCAATACTATGTTCGCCTTCAATGATCTACTCTAGTACCTTTCAGTCCAAAATGACTTCGAAACTCTTAAAGCTGTTGATATCTTTGGTTCTCTCTGTGGTCAAGTTGTTCATAGTGTGAATATTTTATTTTTTACAGAAGATTTAATAAAAATTAGTATGATTACTCACCACTCCATCAACTACTCCAACGTTACCATTGTCACTCTGTAAAAGGAAGAAAAAAAATTAAAGGGGTATCAAAACATTTGTTGATCGTGAATTTTTTAAAAAAATTGTTGAAACTTAGTTTAGAATTCAAGTGATTTATGTATAATGAAGGGACTGATGGACAGTGGTGAGCAGTAGCCCCTCATGCTATGAATGAACCTCACTGACTTTGAATATTTTATCCTCATACTGGTAACAGTCAGTATTCAACGAAGTTCTAGTTTTGTTCGTTTATCAGATGTATCATACAGTGAAGCAACAGTAGTATTTACTGGATAACTTTCCTAACACAGTTTATTGTTCATAGGCTTATCAAGATAATTCCACAACTTCGAGACATAGCTCTAATTTTCTTCTCTAATATGATAAGCATAGTAGTAGTAGGATTTTGCATATATCTGGGACAGTTGTTGATTCGATAAACAAAGAGTCGGTTATCAATCTCTTCATCTACCCGAATAAGTTAGTTTTTATGACTGTCACTGCTCAGGGAAGTATAAGGTTGTATTCACACATTCTGACTATTTCCTCGTCCATTTCAAAGAGTCTAAGAATTTCTAGAGTTTGCCGATCTTCAGAGATTCTTCTCGAGGCCTATTCCTTCATTTATCTGTTTAAGAAGCCTTTTAGACAGGCAAATGGACGCCTGTTAGCCTTCCCACCTTATCCCCACTAGTTCACTACTTTGTTTAGCTCAACAACGTAATACATATGGAACTGACATTCGATGAAAGTGACTAAATACCACTGGAATGGAACGAAAACAGTAATCATAAAAATGAAAAAGTTAATGAAAGAATATTTATCCATTTCACTTACTAGTAAATGTCTCTTTTCTTTTACTATTTAGAAAAAAAAGGGAAAAAACCATTCAAAATCTTAGAACAAATTTTTATGAATGAACTGAATGTTTCTAGAAAAAGAAACAAGTTTAATTACACTGAATTTATGTTATTTTAACCATAGTAACTGTATTTATCACGTTTTCGTTATCCCCATAGATAGCGTCGTAAGTGTAAATTTTAATAAAGTAAATTGTGTTCAAGTTTTTAGTCAACTAGCAGATCAGTGATGCTGAATGTCGTTGGTTATCCTGAAAAGACCTACAATCGTTTGCTAGACATCCAATCTTAAAGTCCTTGATCATGTAACTGCTATCAAGATGCTTTAAATGAATCTCATCATGATATTCAGCATTATTGGAAACGGTTAATCCCATTCGAAAACTTCAGGATGCTTTAATTTGTTAAATGTGAATTAAATTCTGAAATCTCAGGATATATCATGTTTTCGGATGTATAAGTTTCTGAATAGTCGGTGCAGGTGTCCTACTATTCTAGTAAAAATCATTGATAAGGACTGCAAGTATGCCAAGAAAATAAACTAGTTCGTATACGCTTTGTATATTGAAAGGATGGAGTTATAGACGCCTATTAAATGATTCGAATGAAGATTTTTTGTATGATTTATACTACCCAATCACCTTTGAAGTCGAATACTCATCAGTTTAACCTTCACATTACATCCAACCAATCAGAATCATGCAAACTTGTAATGTGCAATATTCATAATAACCTGAGAATATTCTATTCTTTTAACAATTATTACAAACAACAAAAAAGGTAATTGAATACATGCTTAAACTTTAGGTAGATTATTTTGTTTTTCCAAAAAATCTGTTCACCGAAGTTGTTTGTTTATAATAATAATAATAATAATTATTATTATTATTGTTTGCACCATAAGAAATGATCTACTGCTACAATTCGATAAAGAGGATTATCTATTTTTGATCCAGCGTTATTTATTTAACAGAGTGTCGTAAACAATCACCTAAAGTTCAGAGGTCAGTATGCGTGTACATGTACACACACACACGAAAAAAGTCTCAGTTATGAATGCATAAGATGAAAATTTATTACTTGCTCTAAATACTACTGAAAATAGTAATGATAATACTAAGTCTAAGTAAATTATAGCATTCCTGTGAAAAATAAAAATATTCTTGCCTATGTTTTTGAATAAATTTAGGAGATTTACACAAAAATAGGATCAAAAATAATTTCCCAGTGTATGTCGATCTGTTTGGAATTGGGTGAAATTGGAAAATGTTTGCCAAAACTAGAAAAAATTAACAAAAGCTGAAAATATAATTCCTTATTTCTTGGTAATCAAAATTTAATATTCTATAGTAGGATATGGCCTAGAATAGAGAAGTTGTCTTTTTCGAAAACTGGTTGTTTCTATATAAATTGTATAGAAAATATCAGGTATAACAGATAGACTATCTAATGTTCCTAATGATGTTGTATGCTCGGAACTAGATGGTTCAATCTTGAAGCTTCCATTGTCATTCTAGGCTGCATCATCAGGACTAAACCGTCCAGCCTAGGGAACACAACACCATCAAAATCTTCCTCCTGAACTACAACTAATCTTCTCCATCATCTCAAAGTTCCACTTGTAAGGAATATGAAAGGTGAGTCGAAGTGACAAAATCTCATATGCTTCCATTGGTCACACTTCTAAAAAGCGTAGTAATACTGATACCCTTGTATTGAAGTTAAAGCTGAACTAAGTAACACATTTCCATACTAACTGCGGGTCAATCTACCCAAAACTTGTACTTAAGAAAATTGCATAAAAGATCTCATGCACTATGAAGCAACAATAAGAAATATTTACTGTCTTAATTGATTGGAGACATTCGGAAGAATCCTGATACCTAGGTTTCATATCTGTTACATCTCATCAAGAGTGATACACCTATAAACTGAATCATAGTTACACATTTTTGTACACAAATCTGTGGTTTGTAGAAGATTAGCTGGTTGCAGAACACTTCATTGCTAACTTAATTTCACTGACGGTAATTATGTGGCAGATCTAGACAACCCATCAGAGGTGGACACCGCATACAGAACCACTCAAAAACATGGAGTATCGGGAAGCGATCTATTGTTAGGTTTAGACTTTTCAACAACGCACATCCAAGACATCATAAAGATTCGAACCCAAGACTACTGCTTCTTGTGGTGACAAGCCAATGGGTTTAGCTTCAGTGATACATACTTTACTAATTCTGCTGATTCACTTATTTATAGGTACGCACTGTTCAGAAATCCGCCAGCTAGGGCAAAACAGCTTACAAGTTTTACGAGGATTCCAGTGGTTCTTGAAGTAATATTCACCAATCGGTTTCAGTCGACTTTTCACAGAAGGGGGGTTAGGAAGGCCTTCCATAGGATCTTCAAAACAGAATCCTTTGCTATGTTTCATGGAGTTAGGAAATAGACTCAAAAACAGCCGAGGAAAAAACTTAATAATCTGCACTGATTCAGGGTAGTATAATATGAATCATCCTAGTGAAGACGCTAACAAGAAGCTCACCGAAAGAACGGAAAATATGATCAAGATGGTGTGAAGAAAATGGAAGGAAAACAGAAGCTCAACCGAAAAAAGACGAAGAGGTAAAGAGCCCCTATTCATATGTTTACTAGAATCAGTTATCGTGTAGTAAATAAGGATAAACACGCGCGACAGATAGATAGATAGATAGATAGATAGATAGATAGATAGATAGATAGATAGATAGATAGATAGATAGATAGATAGATAGATAGATAGATAGATAGATAGATAGATAGATAGATAGATAGATAGATAGATAGATAGATAGATAGATAGATAGATAGATAGATAGATAGATAGATAGATAGATAGATAGATAGATAGATAGATAGATAGATAGATAGATAGATAGATAGATAGATAGATAGATAGATAGATAGATAGATAGATAGATAGATAGATAGATAGATAGATAGATAGATAGATAGATAGATAGATAGATAGATAGATAGATAGATAGATAGATAGATAGATAGATAGATAGATAGATAGATAGATAGATAGATAGATAGATAGATAGATAGATAGATAGATAGATAGATAGATAGATAGATAGATAGATAGATAGATAGATAGATAGATAGATAGATAGATAGATAGATAGATAGATAGATAGATAGATAGATAGATAGATAGATAGATAGATAGATAGATAGATAGATAGATAGATAGATAGATAGATAGATAGATAGATAGATAGATAGATAGATAGATAGATAGATAGATAGATAGATAGATAGATAGATAGATAGATAGATAGATAGATAGATAGATAGATAGATAGATAGATAGATAGATAGATAGATAGATAGATAGATAGATAGATAGATAGATAGATAGATAGATAGATAGATAGATAGATAGATAGATAGATAGATAGATAGATAGATAGATAGATAGATAGATAGATAGATAGATAGATAGATAGATAGATAGATAGATAGATAGATAGATAGATAGATAGATAGATAGATAGATAGATAGATAGATAGATAGATAGATAGATAGATAGATAGATAGATAGATGTGGAGTGAGATTTTGAACCATGATGCTGTCATTGCAATGGATATCAACTTGGGAGATTATGTTTTCACACAATATCTTAGATGATTATTTGTCGCATATTTGAATAAAGTGGATGAATAGAATTCAGTGCACATATAGAACAGAAATGAAAATCAATAAATCATTTACTCACCAATAATTGCACTCTCTGGTGCAGCACAGCACACTGCAGCTAATCGATCCCATGCACTGCGTCCACCACCACCTATGCCACTGGCTTTTCCAGCACACCAACCACAACATCCAGGTTTACAGCGCCAACAAGCCCATATTAAAGCAGATAATAATAATAACAAAGCGAGGAGTAATCCAGCCAGAAGTGCATCAACCATAGCACCACCCAACCCGAATAATCCACCAGCTTGAGATAGTATAAGTCCTGTGCCAGCATTGATACCAGTTGCACCAGCACCAAACACTTTCCCATCTTTAAGTATGCACAGAGAGAAAGAAAGAAAATTCATTTAATATAGAATATCAGGGCATAAATGTCACTTCATCAGGTATTCGCTTAGAAAACGACCGTCTTAACAGCAGGTTAAATAATGAGTGGTCATCTGGTTACTAAACATATAAGCTAATGATGATTAGGAGATCTCACTGGTAGTAGGAAATAGGCTGAATGTCTCAACTGTTGTCAGTACACTCTTCTGGACTACTAAGTGATCTATTAATTGTAATTTTATGATCATAAAGTGATAGATAAGGACTGAGTTAGGCTCCGCTTGTTCATCTTTGTTTTATGCAACTAAAACCTAAGAGTTTACATTTCTTCATATCTATCTATACCGAGAGCGCAGAAATACTTGGGAGTTGACATAGCGAAGGTGTTGTAGGTGTGGTCAAAAAGAATGAGAACGTGAACCAATCATTTACGAATGTCCATCACATTCCTTCTCATTCTCCTTCACTGACATATTGATAAAGCCGCCTACGCTTTTGAGGCCTTATACGCTTCCCATACTTTTTTGCTACATACAATATAATTCAAAATGGTGTGGTATTAATTAGTCTTCTCTCTGAGGCAGCTGAGGTGACGTTAGTGGCTGTTGCATTAATAACTCGTACATAGTGACCAGGGGAATAACAATAGTTAAGAGAAACGTTGGACGTTTCCCTTAGTCCGTTGATCATACAACTCAACAGGAAGCCCTAACTGAGATTAAGACCATAACATTGGCCAAAACATCATGGCAGAGATATAACTAAAGACAAGGCTAGGTGGACACCATTAAAAAATTTCAACCAGCCATAAGACCGAGTCTCTCAGCTTGCTTTAATTATCTCTCAGTGGCTTATCGATGCACACAGTGATTAAAGTTCAGATTACGATCAACAGTCCTATATGTCATTAATTTAGATTCAACCACATATTTATGTCTGATTGATTTAACTATCCAATATGACTTAGATTGCTACTTTTAAGAGTATGGTTGAAAAAAGAAAGCCAAGATAGTTACCAGGTTTTAAAAAAACGCTTCTTAAACTTCTGGTCTACACTTCTCTGCATAGAGATAAGAGATTAAGTTGTTGACCAGAATTAAATATCAGTTTGCCCAGTGTGTGAAATCTCCGTGTATTTCATGGAAGCGGAAATGAATAATGAATTACCAACCAGATTACGTAACATAAAGTGATTAACTGGGTAATCAGGTATACTTTTAGACTCAGTCAGTAGAAAACTAACAAGAGAAGCTGTCAAATTTCATCAACGTGGAGCAACTATCAAACGACATTGAAGTGGCCAGTCATTGAAAGGATGTCTCTCACTACAGATAGGATTATGTACAATTTTGATGATAATTTCGAGTGAATCGAAGAGACTCATTTTCATACAATCCTCTCACATTGCCTGCTAATTCTAAAGAGGTTTGAATGTACTTGGATTTTCCACAAAGACAAAATTGCGGATAAGAAGTTGACACTGGAGTACGCCTTGCAACTGGGTTGCACACCCTGAAACCTAATCAAAACTCTCAACCTTTAATCCCATCTACTTCAGTGCTGGTGCTGATGTGAGAAGCTACTCGCTTTTTGTTGGTTCCTTTATGATATAATTTTCAAGTTTATTACTCTGAAATCTACAGATCTTCACCTAGTACCTAATGCCATGAACCTAACATCCTTTTCCTATCCTTAAAACATTCTACAGGGTTTCACACAAATAATTTAGAGGCGATAAGATGACCACTTGAAAGCTTATTTATGTCCATATTATTTATTCACATAGATGAATATCTTTATAATACATTCTTTTACTTTAAACAGAAGAAAGTCGTCAGAAACCAATAGTAGTTCTCAAACATCGTTAAAAATCCCAAATTTCTCTACTGAAGACTAGAAAGAAACAGCTATTTCCTTATTGATACACTCAAGGGCATTTGATAGTTGCTCAAGAACGACTAAATTCTGCCAAGTAACCTACTAATATGTAGATTGATAAAAAAATCTGAATAATTTGATTAATTCACCTCCCTCAACTGAAACCAAGTAACGAAATCATATCTGGTGAGTTCAGTAGTACATCTATGTGTGTGTGTGTGTATGTGTGCATGAGGGAGGGGGGTATGTGTATATTATAAACTCTTGTTAGTCAGTCGATTATCTTTCTTCATGATGCATATTTCGCCTATACATTATTGTCTACCAGAACAATCAGTATGTTGTGTAATTTATAGAATCTTTTGAAGTCATCACAGTGTGATAAGATTCTAGAGAAGGAGTGAGTATGACCACACGCTGATATTGGTATTTATCACTTACTGATTTATTGAATTTTCACATGACATAAAAGATGATTGCATTTCCACACTCGAGATACAATAAAACAAATGATACATACCTTCGATTCAACATTCCTACGTGAAAGGTGTACGACAAAGAAAAAAACCTTCAGAATAAATGTAATCCAAAAAGAAACGAAACTTACCAGATACATAGATTGGTGCTCCAAGATCAGCATTACCTGTACCCAATCCAGGCATTACAACTCCACCAGCTATAGTTCCTTCAGGTAACGCTTCAGGTAGTGGTCCAATATCTGGTTTTTTAATTGGTCCACTTGGTTTCAGCAGTTCTGGCATAAGGACGACCACTATCTCATCCATATTTTTAGCTACATTTCTTCCTGGACCCGTCATGACTTTAGCGTTGGAGACAAGAGAACCGACTTCGTTGACTAAATATTGTCCGTTCCAGTAGAAAGCTTTATAGATAGAGGAAAATATAGATAGGAGAAGTTAACACATCTATTCGTTCTGTTTACGCAAGTTTCTTGCTATAGGATGTGCTGCAAAGGAAGTTAATATTTCTGTAATTGATACTTCTTAATTCCCCAAGTTGATGAGTCGCAGATAAGGGGAAACACACTTCGTAGGTTAGGTTGCTGGTTACCACTACCGAGCATATTACGCCATAAATAGTAACCGAGTAGACGGGACTCAGTGAATAGCTTGAAGATCCTTTTCTCAGTAACCGATACCGTCAGTTAGAGTACTGTATAGTTAGTCGATCCTAGTACAGCCCTCTTCATTCTTCATATCATGTTAGGTTGGATATATGACTTTCAAACGTTATGCATAGACCAAGTTAGTGTCTAATCATTGCTTCAAAACCTTGTGGCTAGCTGCTGTTTGAAATCCCCCGATTTTCAGTGAGTATCTTGATCCTCCACTCTGTAATCAATTGGAGGATTCCCAGGTATACTGTAACATATGTTTACTAATCATTACTTCTCCTAGAAACCGTCAAGTTGGATTGTTCAGCAGATAAGATCTATGACAACAAATGAATTAGGGAAAACAGGGAATACTTTCAGAGGGGGTCCCACACATATACATCTAGTTTGGTGTGCTCAGATTCTACATACCCTTTAGAATGCAAGCAACGTTTCAATAATAAATCAGAGAATACTCATTAGTATCAATATGATGACGAAATGATCTAAGGGGTACCTCTGCTTATTAACTAGTGAAATCTGGTTACGTAGTCTTGGGACGCCTGGGGACAATCGAAATGAGAAAGCGTGCTTCATCCCACTTCAGAGTCAACAAATTGATTTACGTACATCCCCGGGGAATATTGGTTCTACGCCCATGAAACTGGAAACCCTTCTTCAATCCTTTCAAACACACAATACAACTGCACTATTGCGCTACTGAGTTACAATACCCGCATATTTTTCAATGAGTATCAGGTTGGTATTGGATTTTCGGATATCCTCCATTTTTGTTTTATAAGACTGAATTAATAAGCAGCTGTTAGCATATAAACCCTCAGCATCATTTGGGGTTTGGTACTGATCAAAAATTTCAGAGTGGTCAACGGTGAAACTGCATGAATTCCCAGGGTGGCTAGAAGACGTTATATAGAGATACAGTCAATCAAGTAGCTCAGTAAAATTTGAGTGTCATGAGGACAAACACCATATTGGCATCAACATATCGCGTATGGATAGTCAAGTGTCATTATATGATACTTTCAACTTTTACGCAGCTATACTGGGTCGAATTGTATTCCCGTAGGAACCCATCTGTCAACAGAGGTCTATCAATTCGGTCCAGCATATCAATGGGAAATTACAAGTATCAGTAAACAACAACTGGTACCGGTTGCACAAAAGGTGACTGTCTTACTCTAGTCGCCCGGTGGTTAACACTTTGGCATCTGAAGTGACGAGTACTTGGTCCGAGTCCCGGTGGGAAGTCAAGTATCATCTTTAGTTTCGATCTCACATGTTACTCCAAGTCACTATGCGGGGAGGGGATATGGACAAATATAAAAGTGTGTCAACTTAATCGAATATTCTCGAAGAAAGCTGAACTAATACGGTTACAAGGAGTTTGATTCAGCAAAGAACTTGGATAAGAGGGAATATGTCTTGATGAGGTGCTTTTCGATGACCTTGTGCATGCTCAAATAAACGCCTTCTTCCCTGTGTGCTGGTCCTTGTAATTTTCAGTTGATTATTATGCTGACCCCAATCTGCCGGTCCTTTTTGGCAGATGGGTTCCTTGAAGGCATGCCTCGGTATTACCTTAGATTTCAATATGATATTATCTACTGATGACTCCAAAATAGGACAAAACGCATTTTCCACCACCTAGTGAATGGCACCTATAGGTCTCCGTCCAAGCAGCCCATATGCCTACAGAGACTGGTCAGTTTGGTGTGGAATAAAAATCAAAATGAAATTATTAGTATCAATAAACAACAGCTGTTAGCTGATTTCCGAGCCATAGTAGTCTGATGGATAACAATGAGACATCTTAAGCGACGGCTAAAGGATTCATGTCACACTGGAGACATCAATTACTGGGATGCGGGTACATCCAACTGAAAAGTTTTTAACAGGAAGAAGTGTGTATAATGGATCCTACTGCTAGGTGCCACAAAGCAAAAACCATCTTCCTCCGTAGTTGATAAATCCTCACCTCTGAGTGATGATGTCTTAAACACGTCTTGAGTTCTGTAAGTTAAATATTTTAACTCTTGGTTATTCTGTGAAGCCATAATGGCAGTGTTCTTCAGATCTTCATATTGGGAACTTGACGCTAAGCTAACTTTGTGTCAGCGTTATCTCATGAATTAAGTCATAGACAGATTTCCTATCCGATCATACTCTAAGTATAAAAATTACTGTACTGTGAAAATATATTTGAGCACCAAGTCATCCTAATAAAGATGAATTAAACCAGACGATCATCCCATTGGTCTTGACTGACCAATCTTAAACGTCGTGAAACTAGCCAATCACATTCAAAAGATATCTACATTCATCTACACCTTATAACCTGGCTGAGATCCAAAACATTTTCGCAGATTCAACTTTCAGTCAAACACCAAGATCCCATCCGCCCACCCACCCTAGCAAAAAAGATAAAATTTACCATTTGACAGAGAAGAAACATCCAATATCCTGTCTCATGCACACCTATTGTGCGAGTGTGTTGATGTACAACTTATAGATTTATTGGTCATGGTATAAATTGATGTCGAGTGCGCGCGGGCAATGCAATACGCGGGCGTACATAACTGTGCATAAACTTTAGAAATTTTCCTAATCTTTTAGTGAATAATAAAGTGCACAAGATAAGTAGCATACTATTTTTAGCAGTTTCTGTGTTTGCATCATTATGTGCATGCATACTAGTGATAACTGTGACTAAAAATACCGTCAGTATCACATTTAGACAGGGCAACCTTGTCAGTATACTTTCTGCTTATTTCTAGGATAAAAATAATTGCTACTCCTAACAATAGTAACCATGCTTAAATGTGACTGGGAATTGAAACTTTAGACGGTATTAAGCACAAATTGTTTGGGAGTAATTCTTCATCTATTTTCAGGTCTTTTTCCAAACTAACACCTGGAACATACGAGTTGTTTACTTTCTGGGTGTACGCATTTTAGTTCGTGTTCACATGACTTAGACATAGTAAAGAATAGGAGTTACGAATGATAATTCTCCAGTCCTTAAAATGTTACAACAGTTTTGTAAGGGATGATCTTTAACAGATATCACTAGCATTTTCTTTCTTTCATTAGAGGAAATGAGATAGGGTACATGTAGACTTCGAACAGTAGTTAATTGGTTGTGATGAACACGGTCACTCCTTCGATAACTAGTGTTTCCGTAACTAGGAATCGGTCTAGGCTGTTTTCTTGTCAGTGGTTATCAGTAAGGCGCATTTGGGAACTGGGATACATACAATTTAACACGCTTAGATCGCACTACTAACTGGATGATGTTTCGAGCACAATTTATGACTCATATTAAGATAATCACACAACTTTAGGCTTTGCAGGTTTTTTATGTGAATTTCTTGACCTTAACAAATTGGTGTTCAGCTATCTTCAGTGCACGAGTTAGATGTCGGACCCATTAACAATCTTCACTTACCCATCAATCTCAGCGTAACCAAGTTAGTTTTTGTTTTCAGTTTTGAATTCATTCAGCCTTGTTGAGTGGTCGTATGTGATAGCATGCAGAGCTTTTGGCCTACAACACTCAATGCTGAAGTCAAAGTCTCTACCACTACGCTAATCATATTACAATCAACCGAAAGACTTCAATTAGCAGAAAGGATATGTAAGCTACATCAGTTACTACTACATCTATAAATTCCTACGTAATTTTCCATCAAAGGCTGGTATAGTTTGGAGAATCGTTGAAAAACTAAGAGCACTAGACAGTTGTTTCGTCCTGATATAGGACTCCTCAGCAGCGTGCACGCTTACTGCACGAGGGATTAGGCCAAGACAGTCAGGACTAGAGGCCAGCACATTATTGGTCAACTACTGGGTTGGAATTCAAATTTTTACATATTTCTCTTGTTTCTTAACTCCTGATATAGATAGCCAGGATGAAACAATTATTCACTCCTGCTAAGTTTTCCATAATTCTTCAACTAATTTCACTTACTGGTGACTTCAAAATCAATCGACCAGTCAGTCAATTTTCACAGAACACCAATGGAATTGCTCTGAAGTTGTTACTATTTTTAATTACTTTTCTATAGCTTACGAAGATTGTAGGTCACTTATAGTTGTGACAGCAGTGTCAATATGACCAGTTATCTAATAAACTATAAATGGTAAAATCACGTTGCCCCTTTTTCTTAGTAATTAATGACTGGATGCGGTTTAAGATATGATTTGCTTAATGTTGGCTAGCAGTGAAGACTATAATGCGTGTTCCACCTTACTTGGGACTCGTCACCTGGATGTACCTGCATGTCAGTGAATGATACTTTTCCAACTGGCATATGAAGCCAATAACATTTACTTCAAATGTCAAAGTGTTATCCAGTAGGCTGCTGAGGCATAAAGGCTAACTCTCATGCAACGGATACAAGATATTGTTTCATTGATACTTGTAATTTACTGTTGTTACGATGAAATAGAAGCCCGTTTACCAACAGTGATCGAATGTATCTATCCTGTAGAACAACCCAAAAGTACAGGTATAAAAAAATAATTACCCAGAAGGTGTTCTTTTAAGTTTATTTGAGGGAACTGTTGTCTCTTCAGACATTCAAACCTACTTCACTCGGCGTTGGAGTCAGTGACGTCGCTAACTGTATCACTTGACGAAGTGAGTTTGAATCTCAGGATGGACATAAGTTTGATCGAGGATACAGACAAAGGCCTTGCTTACGAGTGCCAACAAGCACGAAACCATGGTCGATTAGGATTTCCTGACG